ATGGCGATGGAATGCACATCATCGAAAATTGCTTCTATGCTGTGTTGCGGCGCTACAAGGAAGACGATTTCATTATGGATCCATGGTTCCGACATTGCTTTGAGAATGTGGACATCGAGAATCGCTCCGCATGGCCAAACAATGATTACTTCGGCAACTTGATGAAATATTTGTTCCAACAATATGGCCGTAATGTGAAGACGAATTTGGATACACATGCACAGAAACGATTGCGGTATTTCTTGAGATTGAAGGCATTCAGACAGAACTACACTAACCGGATTCGTGGCCTACCGGACACATACGATGAACGAGATGTGGCAAATGCAGTGTCATGGGCAATCAAACGATATGACGCAACGAGAGGTGATGCTAATCGCTTGGCCAAACGAGATCGATTGTTGCGTTACGTTCGAGACATTCGTGGACCAGCTGACGATGATATCGCCAAATTCACCAAAGACGAAGATACATGGTTTTCATCATTGCCAATGTGGTTGATCATGCAATCGGAAATCGAAACGCACCTCAACTGGGTTGAACAACACCACGACAACATCGTGCAAGTCATTGCGTTGCCAAACATCAAGAATTTGGTGGTCATCCCAATCTGTCATCACACGCGAAAGGCAGTGAGAATAGACGCTGATGTTTTGTATCGTATGATGTGCGAAACCGGTACCATTCCGCGTGATGAATATGGTCGGCAACATACAGTGGGCCACGTCACGTCAAAATCAAATCAAGCGTATTATTTCAATATGATTTTTAACATGGAGAAAATCAATCGAGTGTTGAAAGCAAACAAAAAATTCGAACATATTCTCAGCGATGGTGTATCGGCATCGATTCTGTACTCAGTGAAGAAAACCGTAGTCGACAAGTTAGTGGAAGATGGTTTGGTGCGTAAACGGTACTCTGATGGTTTCTATGTCTATGAATTGGGCATTGATTGGGGCATGAAGACGTGGAATGCAACCGTTAGGCGACGGATTAATAATGACAAAGAGCGAATTCATAATGGCAAAGAGGTATGTTAGCGATTGAATGCATTCTATTGTGATTGTGTCATGTGAATCCATTTCATTGTTTAATTTTTATTGTTCGATTTTTGTTTCCATCTCACAGATGAACTTCACAATCAACAGCAAGAAGTATCATTATGGGACCGAAGAAGGAGTGCGTAAAGAAAAGAGAGAGCGATGGACTCGTGCCTTTGGGCAGTTCGAAGAGAGTGATCGAAACAACCGTGTGCGATATGACCGAATGCCATCACCAAAAGGAAGCAATTGGCGTGACTACATACGGCATCGATTGACCATCATGAAGAAAGCCATTGCAGTGTACACAACCAAAAAGTACACACGTTTAAGTTTTGATCATTACATCGAGTCCAATCGTGTCAGTGACAAGGTGGCCGCAATGCTGGTAAGAATTTACGATTGAATTTTTGTTTCTTTTGAAAAAATTGAATGTTTTTGTTGTTGCTCAACAGACAAATCGCAAACGATGCATCATTAACATTGGAGCTTCCCAACCACCTGCAAATTCACCAATACAGATCAAGAAACACGTTCGATGCCCGGGCGTGCGGAAATTGGTGAAGAGTTTCAAGAAAATGGAAGGCAATGTCATACGATTTGTGAACGAAGCCAGATCATCACGATTGTGTGCCAGATGTTTCGAACCATTTCCATTGAGTACATTGAACGATCGTGTCAAGGTGTGTGAATGGTGTATGCCCGATCAAGATGATTGGCCTGATGGAATGAAGCTACCAGAGAAAATTGTAGCGGCAAAGAGCAAGCGGAAGTTACGATCAGAGCGACGAGCGATGCGACAAGCAGCAGTGCAGAATCCAAATCAACCCCGTGGTTTTGTGTCTAAGGTGATTTGCTACCGTAAAAACTGGCAACAAAACGCGGCAAACGGTATGGATGACAATGTTGAAGAGCGCAGAGGTGTAATCATTCACGACGCTGAACTCGGTATCATCGAGTACACAGATGAATATGTGCCCGAAGACCCTGTTGACGACTCTCCAGTACTGAAGACAGTTTGGCAACGTGACATTTCGGCTGCAAAATTGATCTTGTACAGAGGTATGTTATTCATCGAATTGAAATTGATGCAATAGTAATGTGTGTGTTTTTTTTACTCTTTGTTCCAGGGCATTGCGAACTCTTTGGACATCGGCTGCATGATGCGTTCACACGTCAACACCTCGTGTATCCAACTCGATTCCGAGTCAACTTCAACATTCATTAATATCAATGGAGCCGCAATTTATGTTTTATTTTTCAAAAGAATTTATGTAACAGTATGTTATTTGTAGTTGGTTGAGGTCTTAGTCTCCCAGACATCATCGATACCAGATATCGATGGCTATCTATATTCTATAGTCTATATAGATGTAGGTAGAGTACAGGATAATTCCTGTAGGTGAGTATCACTATTTATTAGCATATTGAATATTGATTCATAATCGTTTTTATATCATTCTAATTGATTTGTTTTTACTGCTCTTTTTCTACTTCCATTGTGACGTTAAAAATGACTGAAACTACACCCAAATGCGGGCCCAAATTCAACCGTTTACATACGCTTGGTAATGGATGTATTTGCGTTAACAATTGTTCCTTGGGATGTAGCAAGTATATTATATTAGTTATGCACATTCTTTTCCTCAAATGTATACACTATACAATATCTAGTGAGATTATTCGGAGAAATGCTAATACTGCGTTCCATATTTTGGAAATAAAAAAAATTTATTCTGCATAACAAATAAGATTTTACAATAAATATTGATTCAAAGGAATTTGAATTTCACAGCCCTTTTCTAATATTCGTAACGACTGAACGAAATTTTCTTAAGTTTACGATTATCACACATAAAATAATATTATTCAAATAAGTAGATAAATAAAGCACTTATTAACACTTTTTGTGATCTACATTTTCGGATAATTAACGAAATTACATTTCAGAGCACCATTTTAATAAAAATTCAAAAAAAATATTCGCATATTTCGAATGCCAGAAACGAATGAATCTAATTTTACATAATATATTATGAGTTTCTTTTGGTCGTATTCTCAAAAATGACTTCCACTTTGAATCAGTTTTTCATGGAATTGGCAACTTATAGTTAAGGAAGTTATATATTCCTAGGAGACCGAAAAGTTATATTTGTTGGAGAAACAATATTTATTAAAACAATTTAAAAATTCCATTCCACACAAAGGGCTTGCATCATCTGAATGTACAGTATGGTGTTTTTGCCATCAAATAATCAAGAAATGGTAGTTCTGGATTGAACGAGTGAACAATTCTGAGTCCATTGCATGTATTTTTACTTTAAAATAATCAAAGATGCCACTTCCCGAGATCAAAACAGAAAATCATGGAATTTTGAGGTTATATCACTATTCGCTGAAACTAATCCGATATTTTCCATTTTTTTCGATTCAATCTCACTGCCAGAGACGAGTTCTCAATGCAAACATTTATTATAACGAATGATATTCACACTTCCCGAAGCAAAAATTGTCTAATTTGAATTGTCTAATGTTTTCGGAACGCTACCCAGCATCTGCCAAATTCAAACATTCGAAATGACAACCATTCCAACTACTATGTGCCGAACGAACCGTATAAACAAACTTCTAACAAGAACTTCGATTTGTGTATGTGTTTCACATTAGGAGCGTGATTTTGGCACGAACTTCTCTTTCATCGCATACAACGCAACACAGCACAACAGACTCATTTGTTATTGTTATGTTTGTTGCATTTGTTTATTTGATTCCGTTATCCGAGCATGTATTGAGTTTCTATATCGGAACCGATTGAACATGAATTTCATCACGAAATGAGTAGAGTTGTTGCGGTACGGTATTTATGTCAAAACCATATTCAGCTGTCATACGGGGGCCGGTTGATTCATATCGATCTGAGCATTTGAAAAGGCAAGTTGATTGTTGTGAATGTTGTTCGATTTACAGTGATTGTTTTATTCGTTTTTTGTTCAAATTAA